CTTTGATACTCTGATGTTGTGTTCTTGCTTCAAATGCTTTTTAAAAAATTTCAGCGACATGTATTTGTTTGCAGAATAGAGCTTGTTGATAGACTGCCTTACAAGGTTCCTTTGAAAGCTGTCCAAATGTTTTAATTTTGGTTGATTTTGACACGACCCCTACCTGCTTCGCATCACCCTGACAATGTTTGTGTTCCAGAACATTTGTCAGTACCCTTGCTGATACTCATAAAGCTTTTGCTGCCCGCTTACGGAATTTATTAATGGCATAAAATGGTTTGCCCCTTTCGGCTTCAGCACGGAAAAAATCGTACACTTTAATCATCAACTGTTTCACGTCAGCATTCAACTTCATTTTTCATCAGGCATGTGTATCCCGTGCACGACGAGATAGTGGCTGTTCCGTTTCTGCGGTTTCACCCCGCCGCGACGATAACAACTTTTGCGTTTTCAATGATGATAGTTTCTTAAACAACTTTTTTGTTTTTGGTGGAGTCCGGAAAATTTTCAAATATAAGAAAGCTGTTTGGTATTAGTAAATGCTAATGGAAGATTTGTTGTCACATGGCTATAATTATCATGACAATATCTCTAATGTTCAGCAGTTAACAAGCGACACACTCTATTGCAACAACATAATATATATCTGCCAGACTGCAGATCTTTAAGGAATGAATCATGTGAAGACCCCCCCCCATTCCCCCACCACCCCGTGACACAAAACCAACTCATTCAATGGCAAGCCAATTGTGTACCCGAAAAATATCCATGATGACAATTGGTTCAACTCACAAGCGGGAACAGGGAACATGAGAACAATCGATACCCAAGAAACATTAGAAAACAATTGAAAGACTCGCTGACGGTACAAGTATTTTATTTTTATTCATCAATGCATTTATCGTGGTTTTTCCTTTCGAATACATACGTGTTTTTTTCCATAAACTTCTTTCAGTTGACGTTGTGTCGCATGCATGCTCATGGAGAAATGAAAAACATATTCTTTTGGTCAGTCTACATGTCTCTAAGTAGTAGCACAAACAGTTAAAAGGTTGTTGTCGCAAAACTATCAGCATCTGGGTGGTTAAAAATAGATAGTCCAAAGAAAAAACATACTGGGTACACCCTCCCCTGCCCGCCTCACCCACAAAGACACGAACTGACACAGACACACAGAGACACAAACACAGACACACACACATACACACACTTACACAAATAAAACAATCTAGAAATCTAGAACATACAGACAGGCGTCGAAAACAAAACGTTTTGGAAGTCCCTCTTTGGTTCCGATTTCTAAAAACCCGACACAAGACCTTGTTAATCTTATAATTCTTTTATCCAGCTAGGGTCCATGCAGGAAGCAAATGTACTGTAAGCCCCATGGTCCCTAGTATGGTGATCTACCTTCAGCTGTTGGCAATCTATAGCCTGTTTTTATATTGTGTTGTCCTCTATAGATAAAATGTCTTAGATTTAATTACTAGTTTTACATAACCTGTGATATTCTAGTTGTAGTTCTGTCCTTCGTTGACAGGTTTTTATAATTTAAGCCATTGAAGCTACATGACAACCCATGACATGTCCGTTCTACTTTCCGTTGTTTGGTTTAACAAATATATACTATTCAAAAAAGAAACGCATAACCCAGAAATCCGATGCGATTTAAACATGTATAACTCGTCCACAAATAGACTTTAGAACATGAATTTTTACATCAGTTTAGAAGAAGGTAATGTCTATACAAGTGGATAATTCTAGTTAACGGATACGCTGAGCGCGATGGCGACAACGTAGCACGGTCCCGAAGTCGGGTTTCCTGGCTGTCAATCTCTCTCAACCTGTTCCGTACCGTTTGACCGGATATCTGCCCAAGGCCAGGCACCTTGGCTGCTGTGCTCTCACCCGTGGCAGTACGATCACGCAAATGTAGTACCCAGATGTACTTGGGCTGCAGTGGTTACTCGAGGTCTGCCTGTACGGGGACGGTCATTTGTTATACCTGTTTGGTTGTAACGAGCTGCAAGCCGTGATATCGTGCTCAGACTAACATTCAGACGCCTGGCAACAGAAGATTGATAATCTCCAGCGTGCATTCTTTAGCAATGTTCCGTGTCGCAGCGGCAAGACGTGGTGTACTGATTTGACCTTGAAACTTCTTCAAAACGAATGTCGATTTCCGAAAGTAATCTGGATTTTTATAGCCATACAGTGCATGCTCTTTGCTGCACAATTTCAACTGGAAGGTGATTTCTGTTGCGCTGTGGCGATGCCCTTTTAAATTACATATTTTGACGATTGATTGAACACAATAGGTAATTAATAGATTTTAAAACATACAAAATACCTATACGTTTCTTTTTTGGGATAGTATATATGCATCATTTTGATGTTTCTTCAATAATGCACGTATATGTAAACTTTGCTTTCGCTCGAGTTTCATATGGTTCAGTAAAATTTAGTTTATTAGCCGAGGTACCTGTACCTCCAAAGACATCTGTACTTTACTGACAAAACACATTTGTCATTTTTTTGGTTCATTTAATTTATTATCCATGTCAATAAGGTTACTCACCATAATACTCAAGATGGAGGTTTAGCAACACACGTTTATGAAAGGAGAAAAACATCCCATGGTTCTTAACTTTCTTTGCCGAATATAATATATCAATGCCTCTTACTCTGAAAACATATACACTTACTTAACTTACTTGGTATGAAGAATATTACTCGAATAGTACTGATCAGTCAGTGAGAGGATACATCTCTACCGTTAATCAGCAATATTAATACGCATTTTACCAACGTCACACCAGATATAATAGACATAAGCGTAGATATAACGTTTCTTTGTAGAAATATCATGGTAAAATAGGTGCATTTTTCTAAGGGTGTATCGGAAATCAAACTTCTACCTTTGCCTTTAAATGATTGGACTCACTCAGTAGGAATTGTGTATTTTCCGTTTACCACCCCACCCCCCCACCCCTGACTGACATTATTTTGAGATTGGGGTTTTTACGATGCCTTTTTGTGTACGAGTTAATTCCCTCTGCCAGGACATGCCAGGTGTCTGTCTGTTAGTCCCTGAACCATCTTATTGTCCCTTCCGACAAACCTTTTCTGCAATGAAAAAGATTGTCAGACACGTCTTGTTGTTCTGAATCTCCGAGTTCACAGGAGCTCCTTTTCAATTCAAAGGAAGTTATTTGTGTCTATCAAATTTATTTATTTCTAATGTTGGCTAACATGATTAATTAACCAGAAATATCGTCGATAGGAGAAATTATTAATGATTATCGATTAGAAAATTGTGTTTTCATTAAAATCGCACATAGAAAAACTTTTCTCACATAATATACAAATTTAGGACTTTATTCATGTTTTGCTTCTCAATTATGTTCACGAGGCTGTTTTGTTAATAATCCATGCAAAAACATGCCACCACTCGCCAGCGATATGAAGTATTTTCAAAGATTATAGATCTCTATGGTCTATTTCGATAACCAACCACAATGTTTTCAGAAAATAAGCGTTAGTCTAATGCACCAGGATCCTGTAATTATGAATGGAAACATGCCCCTGTCACCCTTAGTGTTTTATCAAGAACATACTCTGTGAAATCTTTCCCACAATAGGTAAGCGTTACTTGACCCCAATATTCACATCGCGCACTGAGTGCCCTTCTCTGGTGCTTTTGTTTTTTTTGGTTTCTAGTTGCAATAGTATGAGTGGGGGCTACACAAGATATAACTGTTTAAATAGTAAATTTGGACTATTTTATCACTACCGACAGAAGTAGCCAATCAAGCCCCCTTGAATGTTCCCTTGTTTTTCTGGTGTGTGTGTTTGCTACATGTACCAATAGTGGGGCAGAATGTGCTCACGTGTCCGCAAATTGGTGTTGTCATGGTAATAACATTGTAATTGATATATATTAAGAATCTTACAATAGGGCCTGGAAATTCCGCGAGGCGCTACTTCCGGTACTAAACTGGTTCCCGGCTCTCATTGCGCGCGCCAACGTGTGATCATTCGTGACCAACTCGTGTTATTCCGGGACAAGCCGAGGTTATGGAAAGAGGCGAGTGGTGACTAATGGCTTGGGATATGCGAGACGGGGCCCAGCTTACTCCCAGTGCCAGGTTTCCGGTGACAAGCATATTCAAGATACAGTTCTGGTCAAATTTGACTTAACTAGACCGCATCAAGTGGACAACCTTGGCTGTCACAGCTGTTGACAGTCGTAATAGTTGGCTAATTTGTTTAGATCGAAAATTCGTTATTCTTGTAAAGATTATCTCTTCCTTACTGCCAGCTGACGACCACGAGACCATTTGAAAAGGTATGAGACATTGTTTGTCACCGGAAGTACAAAGGTCTCCCGAAGTGCCGTGACCTACTTACGGGCACTATGGAAAATGCTATGAGCTGAGAATGTATCGCCATGCTTAACACACCTGGAAGTGTAAATCATAGGTTGTACTACATATCCACATTTTCATGTTTGGCTTGTTTAAATTCAGCACACTTGTTTCTGAGTAACAGAGTGATTATTCTTTATTGTTTAACAAGCGGCTACTGTTTTCCCAGAACTAATGGTTTTATATTTTACTTATGGCGCGTCCGTTTAAATCGCGCCAAGCTCCACACCAGGTATGTTCGTTGCGCTAACAAAGAATAGCACGGCACATTATTACCCCGGATAACCCAACTGCTTGTTAGGTGCTAGAAGGTTATAGTCACATAACTTATCACACCGGGTACCCATTTTCTGCTGGGTGGACAGAGGCAATCTAAACAAACTCACTTGCCTAAGTGAGACTAAGTGAGACCACATGTATAACATGTGCTCCGAACCACGGTCACCCATCCAAGGACTCTCCGCACCCGACGAAGCTTAACTTCACCTGATTGTGAGCTGAGCTCTATGCATAGGGCCACACACCATCCAAATATGACATATGACATTGTAACGTAGAGCAACGTGACACCCATTTCTACAGACAACCTTTATTCTGAGTTAATCAACTTTACAGTGTAAATGGTCTGTGTGGGTCATCTGGAGGCGACACTCAGCATATACCGCAGAATTTCGGGCAGTCCACGGGAATGTTGGAATAAATCGTACACCAGGACTTCTTCGTCACAAATTTACACCAACTCTGTGACGTTCCACATTTCTCTGTGATGAAACAAGGTGATGGATATTAAGCAATGATAGTGACGGACTACAACTGCTACTGCTACTGCTACTGCTACTGCTGCTGCTACTACTACTACTACTACTACTACTACTACTACTACTACTACTTACTATTTTACAGACCGCCGCAATGTAGCTAGAATATTGCTGAGTGCGGCGTAAAACTAAACTCACTCGGTCACAGCTCTACACCAACTCTTAGAAGTTCCACATTTCTCTGTGGAGAAACAAAGTGATGGATAATATTCACACAATGATAGCAACCGTTATAATGATAATAATGATAATACTACTAAAACCACTATGTTACTTATACTACTACCACTATCACGATTACTGTTACTTCTATAAATCCGTATAATACGGGCGGTGGGGTAGCCGAGTGGTTGAAGCGTTCGCTCGTCACGCTGAAGACCCGGGTTCAATTCCCAACATGGGTGCAACCCGTGAAGCCCAATTTTGGTGTCCCCCGCCGTGATATTGCTGGAATATTGCTAAAAGCGGCGTTAAACCATACTCACTCACTCAACCCATACAATAAATAAATTCTATACAACTGATGCCACTATAGGTCTTGTCTTTATGACTATTATGATCACCACTAGGACTATGCACAATAACAAGGATAATAATAAGCGAAATATTCCTCAGAGGCAAGTTTTAACTTTAATATTATGCGTAATACAAAAACTTTTGATCCAAATTGATTTTACACTTTAAGATTACAGGATACGATCGTTCGCTTTTACGAGTATGCTATGAAGTTTAGTTAGGGCAAGCAATTCTACATTCGGACTAGATATCCCCTCATACTGTTAACGTGAAGTGATCTAAAAGTAGCGCATATCCATACTTTCAGTGCATGTGTCCCCAGTCCAGATGCCGGTGCACGTGCACGAGCAGGTGCTAGAGTCCAGTGAGCCGCCATTAAGACAAAGCTTGTCTCCACAATCTGAAAATTAACCTGACTTTAATTGTATTGTAAATTAATTGTATTGCAGATGCTTTTCTACAAACGGGAGACAACACAACAGACACAGTATTGTAATTAAATGTTGGCCTTATGTACGTAGAAATTACTTTCTCATCTCCCTGTGTAATACTGGGCCCAATTGCGTAGATCGATGCTTATGCTGTTGATCACAGGATTGTCTGGTCCAGACTCGATTTTTTACAGACCCAACCTGAATGTGTTGATTTTTCGAATATTATACAATGTTTTTATGACGATGTTCCTACTTTAAGCGAACTTTTTAGAAATGTTTCTAACCACTTGATTTCAGCAGAAATTAAACTGTATGAAAAAATATAGAATTTTAAAATCTGAGATCAGTTTTGTACTTTGAATGTGGTATAGGACTGATATTTTAGTGATTTTCAACATCACTTTTATTTTGTTCAGCTTATTGTGTAAAATATAAGACATTTTCTCGCCGCGAATAGCTGTAAAAAAGGTGATGCGGGCTCACTCCCAGAAGACAGACCTCCCACAATACAGACCATCCTTAAGACAGACTCAATTCAATTCAATTCAGTCGTTTATTCCGCATGTGTGGCCTCCTGCCCATATACAGATGATAAGACAGACTCAACGAGTACACCAATAAGCTGAGCCATACTGTCCACCCCTATTTAATTAATGAGCTGACCCAGAGTCACTACAGCGTAACACACTCCTATCTCCTGTACCTTTCTCAAAACATAATTAGTATTATTATTATTAATCCTTTTACTGAACAGAACAGAATAGAACCGAAAGTTTATACTAAAAAATCACATATAGTGACACAGAGAACATACAGCATATTGATACATATTAAAACATTGAACAAAGTCCAGTTTTGATAAATTTGGCATCTTTAGAGTTAAGTGGTGAATAATCACATTTCATTAGATAAACATTTTTTTTCAATAGTAGGATGTTTACAAAATATTGGTGAAGAAATTGATTTCTGAGGGCTTTGAGTGCTGGACAGTATAATAAAAAGGGAAGTTCATCACAGACATCTGTCACACTATAACATAATTCACACTATGTTTCCATTCTTTATTTAATAAAGATACCAAGATGGTCCTCAATAAACTTATTTACATGTTCATAAAGAAAACACTCAAGATCATACAAGTATAAATAACTGGAGAATAGGTAGTTTTTATAACAGTTGTTGAAATAGTTTTTGCAAATAACTGGAGAACAGGATGTTTTTTATTACTTAAGATCATTTGAAGATGAAAGCGAAATAGTATTTATAAAATTCAGTATAAACAAAGTATATATCCGGAGAACAGGATGTTTTAAAATAGTTATTTTTCACATTTCTTTTTTTCCATGACCTTTTTTTCCATTACATTTTTCCCTATGACTTTTTTCCGATCACCCTTCTAGATGGCTTCCTGTATGCTAAGAACAAAGTGAAAGGAAAACATGATGATGTTCAAGTGACTTTCTAATAAGTGTTATCTGTGCACTGACAAACATGTGATGTAAAATAATATGTTTGATAGATACATGTATATGAATTATTGTTTTTGATAATATTCACAAGTAAATGTGATCTGGCAAATATATGTTGATCTACATATATGTTGATGCAATATGTCTTAATTTAAAAATCATAATTCATTACATGAATTGATAAAATTATAGTTAATACCTAATCTTGTCTTTATTAATCTGGGCACATACCATTATTATCAAGGGTACAGTTTAATTAAGCATTATGCAACCAACCATAAAAGGTGTTGTTGTAAGCGGTCTGTCTTATGGGAAGAAACCGTGATGCGGCGTTAAACAATACTCACTCACTCATTTACAGACCGCCGCCATATACCTGAAATATTGCTAAAATGCGGCGGAAAACTACACTCACTCAATCATACTGGAATTGGGCATCCAGACCGTGAATATTTTGTGAAATTTGCGCTCTAGTTATAGCGACAAAAACATGTTATGTTTGTAAGTCAAACAATCCATTATCAATTGAGCCAAAGGTTAATCAATACAGACACAGAACTATTCGGAAAATATGGTTACGATAAAAGACAATAATTTGAAAGAATATAAAAATTCTCTGAAACGACAATTTCAGTTGTTAACGAGTCATTACGACTGAGAACACTAATCTCACCACAGAGGTTGTTGGAGCATTTGCCCGAGGGACATTTACTGCACGAAGTTCCTTTTTCGTACGGGGTCTTGACGTCTGGCGTCTGTTGTCTGCAATCAAGATATGCCACACCGGGTGAATATATGCGTGGCATCGTCCACTACTAGTAGCACTTCTGATGCTGCTACGAAACCAACTACTACTTCCTCTACCTATTCTACTATTTCACCACAACTACTACTACCTCTACGTATTCTACTATTTCACCACAACTACTACTACCTCTAACAATTTTACTATTTCACCACAACTACAACTACCTCTAACTATTCTACTACTTCACCACAACTACAACTACCTCTAACTATTCTACTACTTCATCACAACGACAACTACCTCTAACTATTCTACTACTTCACCACAACAACTACTACCTCTAACTATTCTACTATATTGCCACAACTACTTATACCTCTAACTATTCTACTATTTCACCACAACTACAACTACCTCTAACTATTCTATTACTTCATCACAACTACAACTACCTCTAACTATTCTACTACTTCACCACAACAACTACTACCTCTAACTATTCTACTATATTGCCACAACTACAACTACATCTAACTAGTCTACTATTTCACCACAACTACAACTACCTCTAACTATTCTACAATTTCACCACAACTACAACTACCTCTAACTATTCTACTACTTCACCACAACTACAACTACCTCTAACTATTCTACTACTTCATCACAACTACAACTACCTCTAACTATTCTACTACTTCACCACAACAACTACTACCTCTAACTATTCTACTATATTGCCACAACTACTTATATACTCCTTCTACTAACTACTTCTAACTAACTGCCTCTAACTATTCTATTACTTCATCACAACTACAACTACCTCTAACTATTCTACTACTTCACCACAACAACTACTACCTCTAACTATTCTACTATATTGCCACAACTACAACTACATCTAACTAGTCTACTATTTCACCACAACTACAACTACCTCTACCTATTCTACAACTTCACCACAACTACAACTACCTCTAACTATTCTACTACTTCACCACAACAACTACTACCTCTAACTATTCTACTATTTCACCACAACTACAACTACCTCTAACTATTCTACTACTTCACCACAACTACATATACATCTAACAATTCTACTATTTCACCACAACTACGACTACATCTAACTATTCTACTACTTCACCACAATTACTACTACCTCTAACTATTCTACTATATTGCCACAACTACAGCTACCTCTAACTATCCTACTACTTCACCACAACTACAACTACCTCTAACTATTCTACTATATTGCCACAACTACTACTACCTCTAACTAGTCTACTATTTCACCACAACTACAACTAACTCTAACAATTCTACTATTTCACCACAACTACAACTACCTCTAACTATTCTACTATATTGCCACAACTACCACTACCTCTAACTATTCTACTATTTCACCACAACTACTACTACCTCTAACCATTCTACTATTTCACCACAACTACAACTACATCTAACTATTCTACTATATTGCCACAACTACTTCTACCTCTAACTATTCTACTATTTCACCACAACTACTACTACCTCTAACTATTCTACTACTTCACCACAACTACTACTACCTCTAACTATTCTACTATTTCACCACAACTACAACTACTATTACCTCTAACTATTCTACTATATTGCCACAGCTACTACTACCTCTAACTATTCTACTATTTCACCACAACTACAACTACCTCTAACTATTCTACAACTTCACCACAACTACAACTACCTCTAACTATTCTACTATTTCACCACAACTACAACTACCTCTAACTATTCTACTATTTCACCACAACTACTACTACCTCTAACTATTCTACTATTTCACCACAACTACAACTACCTCTAACTATTCTACTATTTCACCACAACTACAACTACCTCTAACTATTCTACTATATTGCCACAACTACAACTACCTCTAACTATTCTACTATTTCACCACAACTACAACTACCTCTAACTATTCTACTATACTGCCACAACTACAACTACCTCTAACTATTCTACTATTTCACCACAACTACAACTACCTCTAACTATTCTACTATATTGCCACAACTACAACTACCTCTAACTATTCTACTATTTCACTACAACTACAACTACCTCTAACTATTCTACTATATTGCCACAACTACTACTACCTGTAACTATTCTACTATATTGCCACAACTACAACTACATCTAACTAGTCTACTATTTCACTACAACTACAACTACCTCTAACTATTCTACTATATTGCCACAACTACAACTACCTAACTATTCTAATTATTCTACTATTCTACATTCACTATTCTACTACTATATTGCCACAACTACAACTACATCTAACTAGTCTACTATTTACTCACTACAACTACCTCTAACTATTCCTACTCTATATGCCACAACAACTACAACTACCTCTAATTATTCTATTATTTCACTTACTTCACCACATTCCAAACTACATCTAACTATTCCTACTATTTGCCACAACTACAACTACTTAACTATTCTACTATATTGCCACAACTACAAGCTACATCTACCTAACTAGTCTACTATTTCACTACAACTACAACTACCTCTAACTATTCTACTATATTGCCACAACTACAACTACCTCTAACTATTCTACTATATTGCCACTAACTACTAATACTAACTATTCTACTATTCTACACACAACTACCTAACTAACTCTAACTATTCTACTATATTGCCACAACTACAACTACTACTTAACTATTTTACTACTATTTCACCACAACCACAACTACCTCTAACTATTCTACTATTTCACCACAACTACAACTACCTCTAACTATTCTACTACTTCACCACAACCACTACTTCCTCTAACTATTCTACTTCTTCACCACAACTACTACTACCTCTAACTATTCTACTATATTGCCACAACTACAACTACATCTAACTAGTCTACTATTTCACCACAACTAAAACTTCCCCTAACTATTCTACTATATTGCCACAACTACAACTACCTCTAACTATTCTACTACTTCACCACAACTACAACTACCTCTAACTATTCTACTATTTCACCACAACTACTTATACCTCTAACTATTCTACTATTTCACCACAACTACTACTTCCTCTAACTATTCTACTACTTCACCACAACTACTACTACCTCTAACTATTCTACTATTTCACCACAACTACAACTACTACCTCTAACTATTCTACTATATTGCCACAACTACAACTAATATTCTAACTATTCTACTACTTCACTACTACTACAACTACCTCTAACTTTCTAGTCTACTATTTCACCACAACTCTACTACCACAACTTTCACTTCACCACTAACTATTCTACTACTTTCTACCTCCTCTAACTATTCTACTATTTCACCACAACTACTTACTATATTACACTACACTCTAACTATTCTACTACTTCACCACAACTACTACTACCTCTAACTATTCTACTATTTCACCACAACTACAACTACCTCTAACTATTCTACTATTTCTACAACTACTCTAACTATTCTACTATATTCATTCTACTCTAACTATTCTACTATTTCTCACTACAACTACAACTACCTCTAACTATTCTACTACTTCACCACAACTACAACTACCTCTAACTATTCTACTACTTCACCACAGCTACTACTACCTCTAACTAGTCTACTATTTCACCACAACTACAACTACATCTAACTATTAACTATTCTACTACTTTCACCACAACTACAACTACCTCTAACTATTCTACTATATTTGCACCACAACTACTAACTACCTCTAACTATTCTACTATTTCACCACAACTACAACTACCTCTAACTATTCTACTATATTGCCACAACTACTACATCTAACTATTCTACTACTTCACCACAACTACAACTACACTCTAACTATTCTACTATGTTATTACAACTTCACCACAACATCTACCTCTAACTATTCTACTATTTCACCATAGCTACTACTACTCCTAACTGCTACTATTTCACCACAGCTACAACTACCTCCGCACCACAACTAACTACTACTACTTCACCACAACTACAACTACCTCTAACTATTCTACTACTTCACCACAACTACAACTACCTCTAACTATTCTACTATTTCACCACAACTACAACTACCTCTAACTATTCTACTATATTGCCACAACTACAACTACCTCTAACTATTCTACTATATTGCCACAACTACAACTACATCTAACTAGTCTACTATTTCACTACAACTACAACTACCTCTAACTATTCTACTATTTCACTACAACTACAACTACATCTAACTAGTCTACTATTTCACCACAACTACAACTACCTCTAACTATTCTACTATATTGCCACAACTACAACTACCTCTATCTATTCTACTATATTGCCACAACTACAACTACCTCTAACTATTCTACTACTTCACCACAACTACAACTACCTCTAACTATTCTACTATATTGCCACAACTACAACTACCTCTAACTATTCTACTATATTGCCACAACTACTACTACATCTAACTATTCTACTATTTCACCACAACTACAACTAACTCTAACTATTCTACTATATTGCCACAACTACAACTACCTCTAACTATTCTACTACTTCACCACAACTACAACTACCTCTAACTATTCTACTATTTCACCACAACTACAACTACCTCTAACTATTCTACTATTTCACCACAACTACTTCTACCTCTAACTATTCTACTATTTCACCACAACTACAACTACATCTAACTATTCTACTACTTCACCACAACTACAACTACCTCTAACTATTCTCTACTTCTACCACTATTCTCTCTTTTCACCTCACAACTACACTACTATTCTCACCTCACCACAACTACAACTACCTCTAACTATTCTACTATTTCACCACAACTACAACTACCTCTAACTATTCTACTACTTCACCACAACTACTACTACCTCTAACTATTCTACTACTTCACCACAACTACAACTACCTCTAACTATTCTACTACTTCACCACAACTACAACTACCTCTAACTATTCTACTATTTCACCACAACTGCAACTACCTGTAACTATTCTACTATAATGCCACAGCTACTACTACCTCTAACTATTCTTAGAATCTCTTTAAGCTTTCCTCCAGCATCAGACGTGCGCTGATACAAGTGAAACCCAGACCCCATAAGGTGCTGACCGATCACGTGACGGTTCTAATCTTGCACAACTCCTTTGTATATCAGGTGCCATAAGGTCATTCTGCTTTTAATTTCCTTTCGATAATATTTTGGTCCAAAAAAATGTATTAAAATTCAACTCGGTTGCGTTTGTAGTTATCGAACCTGCGATTAACACTATTCAATCGAAGTTATTGCATTTGTATTGAAAATTTCTGAAATATACAAAACCAACATATATTGTTTTGAGGAGTGTACAACTGAAACCTGAAGCCTAATGTGTACTGACCAATCACGTGACTGGTCAGCTCCAGCTGTAACAACAACTCACCCAACGGCGTAGTTGCACACTTGGTAACGACTGTACTTGGCGTTTGTACAGGTGGCCTCCCCACACCCGATGCGGATGGCTCTGAACCCCACAACCTAAACACGGAAACAAAACAACAAGTTCATGTCAAAAGTTAATAATTTAATAGTTTGACAACAACATTCCAGTTATATCACGCAGGGTAGGTAATTTTTGCAGTAGATATTTACAGCGTCTTGTGTTCCATGCTTCTAAGGTTTTGCTTTGATCATAACTACCATCTTACCTATACTTTAGAAAATAATATCCGCGAATGTTAAAAGGTTGTGCATCTATATCTGCCAAGTGATTTTCTATGGTTTCGTCGTGTTTAAGGCCCTTGAAGATCCAGGTTAGAATTGGTCTTCAGCAACCCATGTTTGGTGACTAACTGGCTCGGTTAGGCTTGCTGGCTTGGTCGTAGGTGTCAATTGCGTAGATCGATGCATATAATGTCAGTCACTGGATTGTCTGGTCCAGACTGGAATATTTACAGACCGGCCGAGTGCAACAACACAGAAATGTTACGTCTATCAATAGCCTGATTACCTGGGTGTAGTGACCAACAGTCTTTCCCACTGTCGTGTTTCCGACGCCGTGTTCGAAGTCTTCCACCTCCTTGTGCCAGCCGTCTATTGCCTTGATAACACTGTCGAAGCCACCAGCTGCGTTCTGTCCAATGGATACTCCTGGCATGGCTACAAGAGTGAGTGAGTGAGTGAGTGAGTGAGTGAGTGAGTGAGTGAGTGAGTGAGTGAGTGAGTGAGTGAGTGAGTGAGTGAGTGAGTGAGTGAGTGAGTGAGTGAGATTGATTCCTTTACAGACAGGGGACGCAACTCTAATGCCTTAGACGACTTGGCCAACTATCAACTGCTACAGTGACAGGCTGATAAAGACCAAACAACCATATGATCGATAGTGAGAGCATCCAGCCCGCTGTCAGGGGAGGAATCCATACCAGTAAAACGATCATAAGGCATTTGTGATTCCCTTTAACGTCATCTTGCATGCATTTTTGCGAAAACTACATTTTTCAGACATCATGACAGCTTTATAGGTTATGTAGTTTCATTGAGTGAGTGACCTGGGTTTAACGCCATCTTCAACGACAATTCTTTGGTCAGTTGTAGAAGTGATAAAATCCCGAATTTACAAGGTCGTTTGCCATGTGGTTGAAATACTCATTGTCATGCAACTGACTGACCATGGGCCCTACCATTCTCACTGCAAATGTTACAGCATTTGAGATGAGGAACTACACGCACATGGATGGCCTTCGATAGCCATTTGCTTCAGAAATATATTGAAACCTACATGCAAGAGATCTTGCGGCATAATCGTCATGGCCCAAAGTACACTGACGAGCCCACTTGACGGCATACTCTGCTATGGCGTCATCCCACACCTGTAACACGGGCGTTCATCATCATCACAGGTAAAGTAATCATCATAACAGGTAAAGTAATCATCATGGCAGGTCAAGTAATCATCATGGCAGGTAAAGTAATCATCACAACAGGTAAAGTAATCATCATGGCAGGTAAAGTAATCATCATAACAGGTGAGGTAAAGAGTTTAGTTTTACGCCGCACTCAGCAACATTCCAGCTATTTGGCGGCAGTATGAAAATAATTGAGTCTGGTCCAGACAATCCAGTAATCAACACCATGAGCATCGATCTATGTAGTCGCCTCTTACGACAAGCATGGGTTACTGAAGACCAATTCTTACCCGGATCTTCGCAGATCGCAGGATACCATAAATATCCAATGAAGGTTACTAGCAATCATTGATACAACCATTGATATAATCATTGATACAAAATTACGTCTCTCCCACCCTCTGCTCCATATAAAAGCGATGGACTGATAAGTAGGCTGTGGCATGGGCTTGTGGACACTCGCACCCACGCACACACAGTCCTTAAAACAAGGAGATGGCTGTCAGCTGACCGAAGACTGCGCCGAGGTTGGTATGGCTGGATAAGACTTGAGATGTAGTCAGGAGCAAGATTGTGGAGAGATTTGAAAGTGAGGAGCAGAATCCTGTAGATGGTTTGGTAGCGAACAGGTGGCCAATGAAGTCTCTTCAAGACAGGGGTGATGTGCTCGAACTTGCGAGTGAGAGTGACCACACGTGCCGCTGCATTCTGGACCTGCTGCAGTTTCTTGACAAGATGAGCTGGGAGACCATAGATGAGTGAGTTGCAGTAATCAAGGCGAGATGCTGCTGCTTTGGATCTTTCCAATATTTCTGATATGGTAGTAGGACCGCCTGTAGATAGCTTTGAGGGCCATGTGGGAATCAAAGGTCACCACTCCAAAATTACGTGCTTTCGTGGCTTGGCTGACAACACAATCACCTATGGAGAACTGAGGCAGACTCAAAGTTGGTCCAATCCGCTTGGGACCAACAGCTCAGTCTTGTCCTCATTCAACTTGAGGAAATGATTATTCATCCAGCTTTTGATATGTTCAATGTACCTCTGAGCAGAACAGAAGATGTCCTCAACAGATAGTTGATGGAGAGGTTTAAAGGACATTTACAGTTGCGAGTCATCCGCATAGAAGTGGAAGGAGAAGTCGTGAGCTCTGGCTATGCCACCAAGTGGAGAAGTGTAGATAGTGAACAGAACAAAACGAAGATCTGCTTCTTGGATGTGAAGCTGTCTATCCTGACCTGATGATGACTGTCACTCACGTAGGAATGGATCCACTGAAGAGCCTGTCCTCTGATGCCAATACGCTGTTCCAGGGTGTTGAGCAGGATGTCATGGTCGATGGTGGCAAATGCTGCAGCACCAGGATAGCTGCACCGTCTCTGTCTACTGCCTGCAGGATGTCACTCGGCACCTTGGTGAATGCTGTCTCTGTGCTGTGCATGTCCCGGTATGCTGACTGCATTTCTTCATAACACCCACTGCTTGTCATGTGTTGTTTCAGTCTTCTAGCGATGACACGCTCGGTCAACTTTGACACAAACGACAGATTGGACACTGGGCGATAGTTCTTCAGTATGTCCTGGGTCCCGTTCCTCAAAGCGATCGTAGGGCTAAGATGATCGTAACTCCAATACTTTAACATAGACTTACGACAGTCGTAGCGCTACGATCGCTTTGAGGAACGGGACCCTGGTCGAGATTGGGCTTCTTATTATTATTGCTTCCTTCATGGCAGCAGGAACAGTCGCCTCTGACAATGAAGTGTTTACAAGGTGTGTAAAGAAAGGAATCACTGCGGTTTGACATTGTTTCATTAGCCATGTCGGCATTGGATCTAATGTGCACGACGTTCTAGGACTGTTCTTAATCTATGGTGGCGATTAGGGCCATCGCTTTCTCGCCTTAAAATTCGCGATGGCCCTAATCAGCCACCATATTAATCAGCTTTCCGATTTCCCCTTTGCTTTTCGGAGGAAATGACCACAGGTGATGTGCTGCTGGTCGCTGAGCAGGGTCTCGATAGGTCTCGACAGGGAGTAAAGGTTGCGTAGAGAATCTCTAATTTGTATGATCTTGTCACCAAAGTAATTAAGGAATAGTTGATCTAGGGATTATGATGACCTTACAAGGAATGTTCTAAGTACTCACCAGTTTGACCATATTGGTTGCAGTTGGTGACACATTACTTCTGTAATCGTTATGCTTGTCCACTATAGCTTGCTTGTCTGCGGCTGACAGCGAGGCGTCCGCTCCATTGTCCACCAGACAGAGGGTGTAGTTGGCATGGATGGCGAGGTAAGTGGCGTTACAGTCCTGTTCGAGGGATACAGGTTGGGGTTAATGGCGGAATTTGGTGAGCTATTCAATATGGGTTTCATAATAAGTATCGTGTAATACTAATAATTTCTGGTATACGGATGTCGTAGCCATCGCATACGATGTGCAGAGTTTGGGTTTGAATAGCTATATTCGCCCAGTGACATTACCGACACCATGTTAGTTTCACCAAATTACGTTATGAAGCTGCGTTGGCTGAGTGGGTTAGATGGCTGACTTTGTATGCTGGTGATTAGGTGCCTGACTCTGAGAGTGTGGGTTCGAATCCCGGGTGGGACTCAACCCAGCAAAGAACTAGAATCTGTTCTTTGCTGAGAAAGTGTCATCCCAAATATAACGTGTTAAATGAAGTTATGACTGAAATATTGTTCATATTGCGTAAATCCGATACATTCTCTCGCTCTATTCCTCCTCCATTCACTCAATCATTCACGCACATGGACTTCATTTTCCTCCACTTACCGACTTCACCACGAAGGTATGACTCGAGGCCCCTGCATCAAAAACAGAAATATAATACACATATGTACGCCGATTTTTGTTATGTTTCTATATGACAAAATATGTACTCATTTACGCGCCATTGTTCGTCTTTTTGTGGTACAAATTTGATATCACCACTTTCGTTAAGGTTTATACATACATACATACATACATACATACATACATACATACATACATACATACATACATACATACATACATACATACATACATACATACATACATACATACATACATACATACAAACATACATACATACATACATACATACATACATACATACATACATACATACATACATACATACATATATACAAATTAAAATACAAACATACATACATACAAACATTTGTATAGCGCCGATATCCAGTACAACTGCTCAAACCCGATACCAGTGTATTATGTATTTATAAATATCATCAGTGATTAAAACTCGCCATTAGGGCGAATTTGTTCGGCAACAGTGCACCGCAGCCATGTTTCCTGAAGACAGACGCAGGCATATCCGGTGAAGTTCATAGGGGCACGCTTGTATGCGTACGTGCTTGTGAGTGCATCTGTATGGGCGATGAATCCTGTTTCTTACTCTTTGTCTTTTGAACTATTCTGATGACGACATGCTGTCATTGTGCCAATGACATCAACACTTTCGTTAATTCCAATAAACCCTACCCGCAGATATGATAGTGATATGAATGCGTTGGAAACGGGACATTTTATGAAAATTAATATATTTTAAGCTTCGAAACAACGTAAACTGCCACGACATTGCTGATGTTAAAAGAGATACTGTATTTCCAAACATACACGATGTTAGTTGTTTAACGCCGCACTCAGCAATGCTGAAGCTACATGACGACGATCTTTCCAGTGACTGACATCATGAGCATCGGGTTACGTAACTGGGATACGATGACATGAACAACCCTATCCCGTTTGTCGATTCTAATATTTGTTGTTGAAGACCTTTTTCTAAATCGGTTCTTCGCTGGTCTAGACATACACGCTAATTAAAACTGTCGTTTCCTACGAAATATGCAATGTCCCCAGATTGCACAAATCATTGATAAATCATTCCTCCTCTGACGTAAAACACTGTCAATTTGAGTGAGTGAGTCAGTAGGTTACGCCGCTTTTAGCAATATTCCAGCAAATGGGTGTCACACATTGTACCCATGTTGGGAATCGAACCCGGGTCTTCAGCGTGACGAGCAAACTCTGTAACCACTAGGCTACACCACCGCCCCTCTGTCAATTTGAACACAAACGTATTCGTTACCAAAATAGATAAGAGAGACAAGGGCCGAATGTTTGATAAGAACAACAGCTTTTTGTTTGGTGATCATTACATCGCTAGATGATTGCGATAACTACAAAACAAACCGTGTAGCACTGATCCATCTTTAACTCGAATTATTGTCTCGAAGTATCATGTAATACATTGTCCCGGTAAACTCGGGTTCAGCCGTTTGGTGGTACATTGACACTCTGCATGTGTCGAACCACTCTTTAGTAGACATATGTACTGCGTCAACTACATGATGAAGTTTCACGCATGTTTCTCGATCAAACAGATTCTGCTGGGCGACGTCATGATCACATGAAAATGGTGCCACCACCATTGCCCTTCAACAAATCCAAAACATCGCTGCTGTTCTAAATAGACAGCTCAAGATGAAACATCATGTAACAAAGTTCTGTCAGACAGCAACCGAATATCTACGGAATATTGGAAAAATCATCTGAAAAATTACTGCTCTCTTTAATTATCTCAGACATTGACTACTGCAACAACCTTCTGAACAACATCTCCAAAGAACAGATCACCCGTATACAACATATTACTTAACTTCTAAATTTGACCATATCTCTGCTCTGCTACAACAACTTCTCTAGCTTCCAGTTGCTGCACGCATTGACTATAAAGTCCTAGTTCTTGCCTATAAATGCTTTACCAACAATACTCCTTCTTACTTGACAGAACTTACTGCCCACAAAGTACTCTAACATCACAAGATAAATGTTTATTCTCAACCCCTACAGTGACAACCCCTTTTGGCAAAACAACATTATCCTACACTGCAGCATCAAAATGGAACGAACTCCAGAATATCTCAAATCTGACTCAAGTCTCTCTTCCTTTAAATCTCAACTAAATATTCACTTGTTCAGACACTACTACGTCTAAAATTATCTCCCGTTTCCTTTCGGAGCAAAGAGCACATTTACGCGGTGAATTTACGCGCTAGATAATGAATGTATTATTATTATCATTATGAAAGCCTGCAGTTAATAATGGGTTATTCAGAGTCTAACAGATGCACATATGTATCACTCACCCGCGCCCCCTTCTACCATCACAGCCCCAGCCAGCATCAGCATCAGCAGCTCAGTGAACTTCATCATTGTCTTCCACGTCTTCCTCAACGGTGTGACAACAGCAATTTGTATTGTCCTTATATACACCGCCTGTGGAGATGTGGGATTGATAAAAACATTATTATTGCTTCAGTAAGTGTTTTGATGTGATGCGGGAGAGTGATATAAACAGTTACTGATTTTACAATTGTTATGTCACTGATTGTCAACGTGTGTTTGAATATTATCAATACAATCAACATTATAGATTCTATCAAATACAAACTAAAAGGGCATCAAAAGACATCCATGTTACATTACGTCCGGTTAAATGAGAAATATTGAGATTTAATATTCGGTTTATTGCTATCGAATTTGAAAATTGTTAAAATTTTAACTTACACATAAAAGTCCGATTGAGAGTCGAGAGCAGATAATGAAAACTTATGCTGTTTTGTTTGAATGTAAAATACCTCTTTACATTTGTACTTCACATTCCGTGTATGCCTGATAGTATGTTATCGAGTAAATGTTTCCAAATAGGAGCATGTGTATTGTCAGATGGCGCTTTGTAATGACGAACATATACATATATTAACGTGATACACATTCGATACAAAAGAGACATTTTACTCCGTATAAACCTTGGTTGGTTGGGTGACATAGTGAGTTGGTTACATACTTAACAGTGTATTTATTCTAACAATATCACGGCGGCATACACTACGGTGAGTGAGTGAGTGAGTTTAGTTTAACGACGCAATCAGTAACATTCCAGCTATATGGCGGCGGTAATAATCGAGACTGGACCAGACAATCCAGTGATCAACAGCATGAGCATCGATCTACGCATATGGGATACGATGACATGTGTCAACCAAGTAAGCGAGCCTGACCATCCGATCCCGTTAGTCGCCTCTTACGACAAGCATGGGTTACTGAAGACCAATTCTAACCCGGATCTTCACGGGTGGCATACACTACGGATGTGTATTGTGCTCTTTGTACATATACACGTTGAAATGAGCAGGGCACGATCTATCCACAGGGTTACCTCATTCCTGGTCATTACCTTGAGACATCATGAAACCGTGGATTTATTGTGCAGAGGGGTCGAACTTGAACAAACTAGAGGTGGCTATTCTCATGATCGATTTTTCTGTCGATATGTTTTTTTTGTGAAATGTAATGGCGGCAGAAAATCGCGAGTTATAATATGAAATCGATAGAAAGGTGTTACTGTCGGATTGCAGTCGGTGTTTAGCAATTGATCACGAAAGACAGAACACATTGAGCAGACATTAAAACAATAAAAGAGATTAATAGAGGGGGGGTAATCATAAACTGATCAGTGTCTCCCGGGAATTTTCCATGACGACACAATCATGAGGTTAGGGTGTGACATGCTTTTTAACCAATCAAACCGTGGTATTGGAACATGTGATCAAGACGAGGTCAGACTCGAACACCTTAAACAGATACCCTTAACACAAAGAGAATAGTAGTGCACGCTTGGCGATTAAGGGAGACGAATCTATCGCTCAGTTCCCCAATCCGGGACTAGCCTTTTTTGTGTTGAAGGTGTAGTTGGGAGAGATTAACTGAGTGAGTGAGTTAGTGAGTTTAGTTTTACGCCGCGCTCAGCAATATTCCAGCTATATGGCGGCGGTCTATAAATAATCGAGTCTGGACCAGACAATCCAGTGATCAACAGCATGAGCATCGATCTACGCAATTGGGAACCGATGACATTTGTCAACCAAGTCAGCGACCCTGACCACCCGATCCCATTAGTCGCCTCTTACGACAAGCAGGGGTTACTGAAGACCATTATATTCTAACCAGGATTCTTCACGGGTAAGAGATGAACTGAGGCAAAGTAAAATTATGTTAGACTAGAACCTGGTGTTGCGTTAATTCTTGTATGAATGTGCGCCAATACATGGATGTGACGTTGAAAGTTAGGAGTCACGGTCAACGGACCCCCTCACTCCTTGACCACGCAACCCCCCACGTTCCAGGCGAGTGTAGTCATGGCTTAGATACACCCCGACGACATGACAAAACGCAAAACGAGTAGGCACCTATGGAATCCTGGAAGGGACATCGTTGCGTTGTCGCATTGTCGCGTTGTCGCCCTCTCAAATACAAGCAAAATGAGGCAAAATTAACCAAAACGCGACACGCGACATCGCGACATTTCGCCCATTTGTCGCATTGTCGCAATGTCGCGTGTCGCGTTTTGAATATTTTTTTGTTTTATTCCTCCAAAGGGCGACACGCGACATAGCGACAGTGTCCCTTCTCGGATTCCATATGCACCTGTGGTAGGGTCATCTGAGACTCTTTACGCAGTTACGACAAGACTGTCGGACTCAACAGGCTGTAGCAAAGAGCGGATAACCTTGATACCAAAATAGTTTCAAACCCGTAAAGATCCGGGTTAGACTTTGTCTTCCGTAACCTTTGCTTGTCGTAAAAGATGACTAACTAGATCGAGTGGTCAGGATCGCTGACTTGGTTGACACATGTCATAGTATAGATCGATGCTCATGATGTTGATCACTGGATTGTCTGGTCCAGACTTGATTATTTACAGACCGCAGCCATATAGCTGGAATATTGTGCGGCGTTCAACAATAATTTTGGATAATGCGTCTGGCTCGATCCCCTGTCCACATCAAGCCAAACTAGGCTTAAAGACGCTACTTGTTGTTACCCTGTCTGGTGCTCGGCGTTAAGGGCACGAAACAATGAATGAGTCGTCACTGGTCAGTACACGGAGTGTGGCACCAATGTTAAACTGTTGCATGGTATCGATAAGGTGGAGGTTTACAACACTCATATCTAAAACAATAAAACCCTATAAAATCTCTTCTCACGAAATTTAACTTCCTGCAGTCAAGAGTCTACAATCAAAGGGTCTACCTGGCTTAAGTGGTTCTGACCATTGCAGGAGCGGTGAGGTAGGTGGCCGTGTTGTTAAAGCGTTCGCTCGTTACGCCGAAAACCCCGGTTCGATTCCCTTCATGGTTACAACGTTTGAAGCCCATTTCTGGTGTTCCCCGCCGTGATATTGCTGGAATATTGACAAAAGCGGCATAAAACTGAACTCACTCTGACCATTGCATGTCACGGGAGACGGCCGTTTTTCAATATCGTGGAACTTTTTTCCAAATTCGAGGCCTAGGTCCGACACGAACCAGACTGATCATCGAAAACGATGCTGACTACTCGAGATAAAACCCGTGAAGGTCCGGGTTAGAATACGTCTTCAGTAACCCATGCTTGATGTAAGAGGCGACTAACGGGATCGGGTGGTCAGGCCTGCTGACTTGGCAGCCTATATGTCATCGTATCTCCATTGCGTAGAAGCGATGCTCATGCTGTTGATCACTAGATTGTCTGCTCCAGACTCGATTATTCACAGACTGCCGCCAAATAGCTGGAATATTGTCAAGTGCGGCGTAAAACAACAAACCAACCAAGCCGCTATAAAAGTTGATAATGTCTGTAAACTGTCCTTTTGTGCCTTATGACCATTGATACCATTAATGACATCTGTCATGTTCCATTGCTACACGGAAGATAGTGCAAACTCCGTTTATAACGAACTGAAGGATGTAACGAACTGTTTTTCCTGTCCCGACCACTTGCTGTTATTTTAGTCGAAATGAGTATTACGAACTACGGTTATGACGAACTAAAATTGTGAACCCTTCGAGTTTGTTTTAAGCTTTGTTTATACTAAAAGGTAGAAATGCATCGCAAAATCCTTACAAATTATGACAAACTTAATCAATGCTGGCTATGGTCGCGAAATCTTTAATTTAGTGTCGCGATACCTTTAATATTGGACTTGTTACAAAAACATGTGTAGGTCTCCGAGGAAGGGAAAACAAAATGGGCATGAACAAAAGTTTGAAGATAAGTCAATATTCTTGAAAGTGAACCAACGACGGATGAAGTAATCGGTTGTTGCTTCGTTGTATTGCTCCATCACGACAGGGGCGCGCCGGTGGGGTAGCCTAGTGGTTACAGCGTTCGACTCCCCACATGGGTACAATGTGTAAAGGCTGTGTCTGGTGTTCCCGACGTCATATTGCTGGAGTATTGTTAAAGGCGGCGTAAAACCATGCTTAAGAATTCATGAGATCTGTAACTTTTAACGAATCAAAATGATAAATAAAGACACGTGACAGAAGATGTTCAGGCTAAAACACTTTAAAAAGAAACCTTCAATATTGGGAGAGTAGTGCTGGTCTGAAAGTTAACATGCTGAAAAGTATTTTCTTCAGGAATTATAACATGAATATATTTGTGAACATAAAATACCTCTCTGTATTCACATGTATATACACATACACCAAAACAAAGTATTTCGGACTTTACTTTCAGAGGCCAAACATACATTAGCAAAATGGAATTATTCCGAGGTTTAATAAAACATGTTCAAGATTATAAAGAACGTCTTACGACACAGAAGTTGTTCTATCAAGGTTTCAACATTCAAGCTCAGAGTAAAGCTATCTAAAATTAATGATAAGTGACACTTCCAAATTTGACGCATCATCGCCAAACATATGTCTAATTCCATATTTGACGTGTAGACGGTGTACCATGCGTTTTGTGTTTTTATCAGGTGATTACTTGACTAGCCCGTGCATGTGTTTATGACGATGCCACCGGTCTAGCAGGATACGCTCACCTTTTCACAAACCCTAGTTGATACTTTAATAATATTTAAACACATGCTCATGATAATTATAGACGGAATGTGGATGTGGAAAGGCTTCATATAAAAGGTCGCATATATTCACGTCAGAAGCCCATTTCTGGTGTCCCTCGCCCTGATACTGCTGGAATTCTGCTGAAAAACGGTGTAAAACCATACTCACTCTAATCACTCACTAATCTACTCACTCACTCAGCAATATTCCAGCTATATGGCGGCGGTCTGTAAATTGAGTCTAGACCAGACAATCCAGTGATCAACAGAATGAGCATCGATCTGCGCAATTGGGAACCGATGACATGTGTCAACCAAGCCAGCGAGCCTGACCACCCGA